CCATATAGGGGAAGCTACGTGTCTCAGTTCAGGGGCACTTATCTCCAATCTGCCAAATGCCATCCTGATAAACTCAGGGCAGCATCTCAGCTTTTAGAGACCATTGTGGATCTGGACACCTCGAACTGCTGAATTAAATATCCCACCCAGCTTCACAATCCATCAGTGTTAACATCCAGATCTTAATAAGAAGGAGCAGGAGGATGGAGAAAATGAGGAGATGAAACTGGGAACTATCTGGGGACCTTTCATCCCACTCAGGACCTGCGAGGGTCACTGATGTCGCTGCATCAGCACTGCATGGAGTAAGGTCAGAGAGGCCAGGGCACAGGATGTCCTCCAGAACCCCGACAGAACAAGGGCCAGACTGAAGACCTGAAAGGTGGAAAATGACGTGAGTCTGGCATGACTTGTCCCCAGGGAGCCCCCACCAGCTCCTCATGCCCGTCTCTCCTTTGCCTACAGACTCACAGCCTTTTTCTTAGTCTATGATCTTTCCCAGAGCCAACATCAGATTTGAGTCTCATCCACCTCCAGGCTTCAACTTCAACACCTCTCAGACAGCACCTCAGATGAGGGAATACCATTCCAGGTCACACCATGCCCTGGCCAGGGCGTTCTCTGGGTCAGGGCCCCGAGGCACACCCACAGCAGCCCAGGGCTGCCAGGCTCCTGCTTTCCTCTGAGGACCAGCCTGCACCCTTTGCACCTGCAGATCCTCCTCTGCCCAGACCACTGTGGGCACAGTGCAGCTGCACCTTCCTCCCCTTCACAGACACCAGCTGCCCTAGATGGCGATGGATCTATGAAGCCCTATTCTCCTGACTCTGAACATGATATGAAAAGATGCTTTGTGGTCGTCAGCTCTCCTCAGTAGGCTCAGTTCACGCCCGGGCTCTCGCCCCCTGACACTCTTTACTGGCCCTTGTCACTCTGTCATTGTGAGTGTCCTGGGAAGGGCTCCTCTTCTCCTCCTTGGCTCTTGTCCCTCTGACCTCAGCAAGACATCTTTCTGAGTCACACAGATGTCTCTCATTGTCACCCCATGTCTTTCCTACTTGAAAAAAAACAGATTTCATTCCAGGACTAACCCACCACTTTCAGAGCCCTCAGATCACATGAATCACGGAAATCAAGTGATGATCTTTGAAACTTTCTGAAACTGAGCTCCCCAATTTCTACAGGGGATCTAACCATGCCTGGCCTTCCCCACCAACACAGAGCACATCTCCCCAAGGCTCCCAGCCCAGCTGGGCCATCAACCAGGGTCCCCTATTGCCCAACTCAGCAGGTGCTGCATCCTGGGAGATGAAGCCTCTCATACCCCACGGTGTTAAGAGCTTGTGGTTCTCAGTTTATCACCCATCCTCTGGACCCTGACCGCACAATGATCATTCACTCATCTAGGAACCACTGGCCACATTCTCCCACATTACCTGTCTATACCTTAACCAGGTTGTCTTAGGTAACCTTGGAGTCTTCCATCCACATAGATGTTAAGTGCACGGGCTCCCGGGTCAGAGGCCAGCTCTGCTCTATCCAAACTGTGACCTTGGGCAAGGTGTGGGTCCTCTCCAGGCCTCTGTTTTCTGATCTATAAAGAGGGTGACCTTGGTGTTTTCTTCACTGGGTTGTTGGAAAGATTAGAAGAATGAATACAGAGAAAGTGCTAAGAAACCTGTCTCAGTAAACATTAGGGGTATCACTTCTTATCGCACTGAGTGCAAAGGGATAGAGTCCACCCCATGGCGGCCTTCCCATTACTCCTGAGCTCTCAGGGACCAGCGCACAACAGTGTTTAATGAATGACCAAACAGCCTGGGCATTTTTCTCCTTCCCACTACACCTACAGAAGAAAGAACTCTTGGCAAACAGCTGGATAACCTCTTTTTCCTGAGATGTCTGAAGTCACTCCCTAACCCAAGCAAACTAGCCAGCCTCCAGCTGTTCTGAGCTGCAGGTCAGGCACCAGATCTTATTCAGAGACACCATATACCCCTGACCCCCCATGCAGTGCTTTGCTGCATCTGCCTTTCTCTTCAGCTAAAACACACAACAGCAGAAAGTGCCTCCTGTCTTCTAACCTTCAGTGTCCCCAGTCTCTGGAGAAGCTTCCCAGATCCTTTTGGAAGATTCCAGAGGACAATCATCTATGGGCCTTTTCTGCATTTGGATTGTGAGGTCCTGGGGTTTCCTAAGAAAGGAAATACACCTGTTTCCAGGAATTCTCCTGGCTCTGGCACACTGAGGAAATTAAACACGGAAGGTGATCCAGGCTTTCCCAGAGGCTGACTGGTGGCACTGGGGAGATGAGCAATTCCTAGTCAGCCCCTACAGGCTCTGTGGCCAGCTATGCCTGGACCCCTCTAGCAGCAACGCCTGCTGCATTCCAGGAAAGCTAAGTGCAGGAGACTGCGGACACAGCCAGTACCCATGGAAGCAGGGAGAGTGGCCCTAGTGCAACATAACTTGTCCATGTGGACCCTCATAGGAGTGGATGCAATCTCATCACCCACTCAGATGCCTGAGACTGTGCAGAAGCAGGGCCAGTGAAAGCAGAGGGCAAATCCAGTGCTTCAATGGGGCCCTGCTGTGCAGATGGAGAGTCTGCCATGGATATGACTGAGGATGGCCAGGACACAGAACAGGGAGCAGTGTTCTGCCAAACAATGCCAATAGGCAATGGCTGGTGCTGTGTGGAGTGATATTTTAGATGTTACATGTGCCAGGGCTGCAGCAACATGGAAGTCACATAACAGGACTGAATTATCCCTGGTCACTCAGGCTCCAGGGCACAACTTGTGTTCCAAATCAGCCCTGCTACTACCTGCCTGACCTCAAACAAATACTCTGGGCCTCCATCTCTTCATAAGTAAAACAAGAACAGTGATCTTCACTTCAGGCACTCACGGACGGGACTCAACAGGGCTCTGTACATGCCAGGCAGCAAGAGCACAAGGAACAGCAGCTCTTTTCCTAATACAACTAGAGAATAAAGGTGGAGCCTGAGACGGTGGTCCCAATTCCACTGGCAGCCTTCCGGGAAAAAGTCCATGATTTTACCTCAGCTACTCCTTTTGACATTCCCAGGTTCCAACAATAGCATCATCTAAGGATAAAAAGACAATGACGTTCTTACAGAGACACTGACCACTAATGAGGAATGATCAGTTTAAAAATATTGAAATTCATCCTTTTTTAAAAAAAATAATTGGTGTGATTACATGTTTCAAACAAAAGTTGCCACTTCTTGGATACCCGAAAAGAAATCTGCCAAGCAAAGCAGACATGATGATTCTAAATCATTTGCAAAGTCTTTTACCCCTCCCCCGAGAATCCTCACATATTGGGGATCAGGGATTAGATATGAAAGGCAATTTAACTTTTTAAACCAGAAAAGAGCCTCACAAATCACAGTTCCACGCACATACCTATGAATTTGTCCAAAATATCTAGCACATGCAAATTCTTTCACTGAACACACTGCAATGTACCTTCATCATACTTAACTTCTGTTTAATTCTGTGTGATTTATCTATGGCCAAACTTCCATTTCTGTATCAATCAAAAGTAAATTAGTTGAATTTTCATTAAAGGTCATAATAAACTACAATATCATGTTAAATTATTTCCAAGAAGCAAAAGCTTCAAGCTTTATTGGTAATTAAGATCTTTACAAACAAACAAAGGCTCTTTTATAACATAGTGCATATATATTAAGTATTTGTGTGTGTTTGAACACATAAATATTATGTGTCATAAATATCATTAAAAATTAAATCACATATCTCTGATAAGATTACATTTTAACCAAGAAACAAAAAATTACCTCGATATAGTTCTATTTTATCCCTCAAAAATGAATGAGGCTTGATTTTCTAGAGTTCGTCCTTTATGCATCTATGACAATCTTTGACACTAACAGGAAATATTTTCCCCTTGGCCCTCCTATTTAATGTACATAAAATCATTAATTTCAAATGCCATAATTACTGCCATAAAATGCCTAATGTCTCCCTCAGGAGTAATTAAGTAAGTTCATTTCTGTACATCAGTGGCATTGGCAACTACATATTTTAGAAATTTACTGTTAATTTCTTATTTTCAGGGGCCCTCAGATGTTTCAGGTGCAAAGCTCTGGCCTCCCACTGTCTTCCCACAACTCTGCTCTGAATCCTGTCCCCTCCCTCCCCTGCACCTGGCATTGCATAACCTGCCCAGAAGGCAGGTGTGGGTGGGAACTCCCCTTAAATGCTTCTGCACGGCTTAGCTTCCTGCTGTGCTGTCTGTGTCTATTAGTAAAGGCAAAATGTCAAGGAAAGGATTCAATCAACCCCTTGCCTCTAAAACCAGGTATGTTCTTTCAGCTCATTCTAAAAACTCAGTATAATGTGATCATTTGGCGTTGTTTTGTTTCCCAGGAAAGGCAGTGAACAGGTTACACGTCCAGATCTTTGGATATAATCTGTTGGAGAAAGGATCTGGGGCTGATGCATGGTTCTTACCCTACTGCCCAGCGCAAGCCTGGGCTGAGAATAACAGAGCAATACACGATAAACCCCGGAAGGGGCAGAGGGAGGGATGAAAACAACTGCAGCCTGAAAGTCACCCTAGGAGAAAAAAAAAAAATCATAGGTAGAATTCTTGAGTGCTGAAAAAACAGCGGGGAGAGGGGGAAGGTGAGGGAGAAGGATAAAGATAGAGAGGAAAAGAGGGAGAGGGAGAGAGACTGACACGGAAGGAAATGAAAACAGGAAGACAATAAAGAAGAAATAGAGGAGAAAAAGTGAGAGAGGAGAAAGGGAACCGAAACGGGGATGAGACTCGGAGACGACATGAGAGAGCTAGAGGAAGCTGGCGACATTGGGCAGGAAAGGACCCCACGGTCAAAGGCAGGACTCAACAACCCTGTCCTGGGGAAAGGCAGTGGAAGTGAGATGAACCCCGCCGCCCGCGCCCGCTCGCGGCTCTGTCCCTGCAGACAGGAGGGCGCGCCTCACCTGGGCTCTCTGGAGACGTGGAGCAAGAGGTGCTGGGGCAGCACAGCCTCCTCCCGGCCAAGAGCACAGCGCGTGGCTCTGAACTTGGCGCTGGAGCCCTAACGGCGGACAGGTCCGGCCCAAAGCCCCTCCCGCCTTCGGGGCGTGGCCTTGGCTTAGCCCACCCCCAGGGAAGCTCCAGTCTTCGGGGCGGGGCTTGCAGGTGGGCGGCCCCGGCCGGGGAGGGCGCCGCTGGCCAAAGAAACCGCAACCCCGGGAGAAAACCCCGTTCTGATCTTATGGGCTGCCCGGCCCTACCCCGGCTCAGTTCCGCAGAGACGCCCCCAGCTGGTTGGTCAGGGTCTGGAGCCAGCGCCTGCCGGAGGGCGAGGGCGTCCTTTGGAGGCGACGCCTGCTCCCGCCGACCCGCTCTGGTTCTGGGCGCCAGACCTCTCGCTCCTGGGCCCGCGGGACCTCGGCGAGGCGGGCGGGGGCTGCGCGTGGTGCCTGCGGCTCCAGTCTGCGCCGAGGACCCCCGCGGCCTCCTGGCCCTCCTTCCTCGCGCAGCCTGGCGGCCCCTCGAGCGCCACCTCCCCCCGCCGAAATCGCCCAGCTCTCCCCGCCAACCCCTGGGAGCGCCCGCAGCCTCTGCTCCCCAGACCCCAGCTGTGACTACGCAGCGCTCTACCAGGAAGGCGGGCTCCGCGACTCGGGCCGTGGTGGAAAATGACAGTTCAAGTGCGTTAAAATTAAGAACTTATACTTTGATTAAAAAAACAACAAACGGAGTGAAAAAGCAAGCCACACACTGAAAGAAGATGCTTGCAGCAATTGATAAAGGATTAGTATCCAGGATATATACTTTTAATGAAAGAGGAACACCCAAAGCAAAGAATGGACACAGACATGAATAGGCACTTCGGAGGAACCATTAGCGACCAAAATCATGTGAATGGAGGAAGTCTCTAGAGTAATTAGAAAATGCAAATTAAGACCACAAGGAGATGTTTAATCATTAGGCATAAATGTTAAAATATAACAATAACAAGTGTCACGGAAGGCATGAAGCAAGAGAACCCTAATATGCCCCCAGCATATTAGTAACACCCATATTAGTACAGCATAGAAGTACACCCAATTTCATTGATTATAAAACAACACTAATTTAAGATACTCTATTATACTAAATACAACTCCAAAAGAGGGGGAAAAAACTGACAACCAACCAACTCAGTGCTTTTCATCACTTGTAATTTTTAAGTTATATAAAGAAAGATATATTTTAGACTGTATTAATCCATTCTCACACTGCTATGAAGAACTGCCTGAGACTGGGTAATTTATAAAGGAAACAGGTTTAATTGACTCACAGTTCAGCGTGGCTGGGGAGGCCTCGGGAAACTTACAATCGTGGTGGAAAGGGAAGCAAAACAGGTCCTTCTTCACAGAGTGGCAGGAAGGAGAAGAATGAGTGAAGTGCAGAGTGAAGGGGGTAAAAGCCCCTCACAAACTCATTCGATTGCCTGAGAACTCACTTATACTATCATGAGAACAGCACAGGGCAACTACCCTCATGATTCGATCACCTCCCACTAAGTCCCTCACCCTACATACGGGTATTACAATTAGGACTACAATTCAAGATGAGATTTGGGTGGGGAAATAGAGGCAGGACTTATTATGCCACCCCTGGTCCCTCCCAAATCTCATTTCCTCATATTTCAAAACACAATCATGTCTTTCCAACAGTCTGCCAAAATCTTAACTCATTCCAGCATTAACCCAAAAGTCCAAGTTCAAAGTCTCATCTGAGACAAGACAAGTCCTTTCACTTATGAACCTGTAAACTCAAAAGAAAGTTATTTCCTAGATACAATGCAAGTACAGGCATTGGGTAAATACACCCATTCCAAATGGGAGAAATTGGCCAAAACAAAGGGACTACAAGCCCCATGAAGTTTGAAACCCAACAAGGCAGTCATTAAACCTTAAAGTTCCAAAATGACCTCCTTTGACTCCATGTCTCACACCCAGGTCATGCTGGTGCAAGATGTGGACTCCCACAACCTTGGGCAGCTCTGGCCCTTTGACTTTGCAGGGTGCAGCCCCCCTCCCAGCTGCTTTCTTGGGCTGCCTTTGAGTGCCTGTAGCTTTTCCAGGCACAAGGTGCAAGTTGTCAGTGGCTCTACCATTCTTGGATTTGAAGGGCAGTTGTCCTCTTCTCACAGCTCCACTAGGCAGTGCCCAAATGGGAACTCTGTGGAGGAACTCCAACCCCACTTTTCCCTTCTGCACTGCCCTAACAGAGGTTCCATCAGGGCACTGCCCTCGCAGTAACTTCTGCCTGGTCATCCAGGTGTTTCCACACATCCTCTGAAATCTAAGTAGAGATTCCCAAACCTCAATTATTTTTTTTTTCTTTTCCTGACATGGAGTCTCACTCTGTCACCCAGGCTGGAGTGCAGTGGCACAATCTTGGCTCACTGTGACCTCCACCTCCTGGGTTTAAGTGATTCTCTGCTTCAGCCTCCCAAGTAGCTGGGATTACAGGCGCCTGCCACCATGCCAGGCTAATTTTTGTATTTTTAGTTCAGAGAGTTTCACCATGTTGTCCAGGCTGGTCTTGAACTCCTGGCCTCAGGTGATCCACCAGCCTTGGCTTCCCAAAGTGCTGGGATTACAGATGCAAGCACCACGTCTGGCCCCAAACCTCAATTCTTGACTTCTCTGCACCCACAGGCCCAACACCATGTGCAAACTTCCAAGTCTTGGGGCTTGAACTCTCTGAAACAATGACCCAAGCTCTACCTTGGCCCCTTTTAGCCATGGCAGGAGCTGAAGCAGCTGAGATGCAGAGCGCTGTGTCCCAAGGCTGCATAGCGGAGGTGAGGGCCAATGAGCCTGACCCACAAAACCATTTTTACCTCCTAGGTCTCTGGTCCTGTGATGAGAGGAGCTGCTGTAGGTCTCTGAGATGACCTGGAGACATTCTCCCCATTGTCTTGATGATTAACATTCATCTCCTCATTTTTATGCAAATTTCTGCAGTGGGTTTGTATTTTCCCCAGAAAATGGGTTTTGCATTTCTATCACATCTTCAGGCTGCAAATTTTCTAAACTTTTATGCTCTGCTTCCTCTTGAACCCTTTGTTGCTTAGAAATTTCTTCCACCAGATATCCTAAATCATCTCTCTCAAGTTCCAAGTTCCACAGATCTCCAGGGCAGGGGCAAAATGCCACCAGCCTTTTTGTTAAAACATAGCAAGAGACACCTTTATCCCAGTTCCCAACAAGTTACTTATCTCCATCTGAGACCACCTCAGCCTGGACTTCATTGTACATATCACTACCAGCATTTTGGTCAAAGTCATTCAACTAGTCTCTAGGAAGTTCCAAACTTTCCCACATCACCCTGCCTGTCTTTTTGTGAGCACTCCACACTGTTCCAACCTCTGCCTTTACCCAGTTCCAAAGTCACTTCTATATTTTTTGGTATCTTTACAGCAGCAACCCACTACCTGATACCAATTTATTGCATTAGTCCATTCTCATGCTGCTGTAAAGAACTGCTCAAGACTGGGCAATTTATAAAGAAAAGAGAGATTTAATTGACTCACAGTTCTGCTTGGCTGGGGAGGCCTCAGCAAACTTACAATCATGGCAAAAGGGGAGGCAAACACGTCCTTCTTCACATGATGGCAGGAAGGAGAATAATGGGAGAAATGCAGAAGGGAGGAAAGCCCCTCACAAAACCACCAGATCTCATGAGAATTCACTCACTATCATGAGAACAGCACACCATCCCCATGATTCAGCCACCTCCTATGAAGTCCCTCCCCCAACACATGTGGGTTACAATTTGAATTATAATTCAAGATGAGATTTGGGTAGGAACACAGAACCAGAACATATAGACTTGCTAGAAATTTTCTAAAATTATATATCACTCTTGTGCATACAAAAATGGAGAAAATAAAATTGATTAAGGTATCTCTACAAATGTTTTACAGTAACAGTTTGACTCCTGAATCCCACTTGGTTGTGCCCATGTTTTTCCACCCACTATACCCTCTCTGCCATTCAAAGCCCTGGTCATACAGCTGTTTTGACACTGGAATGTGAACTCATTCACGCTCCTGCCCTAGAGATGGGGCCTGTGTTCCCTCCCATTGACTCTTGTATCCCATTGACTGCTTGGATTAATAGAGTACAGTGGAAGTGACACTGTGTGATTCCCAAGGTGGTGCCATAAAAGGCGCTACAATTTCTGACTTCCTCACTGAAAATACTTACTCTTGGAGCTCTGAGCCACCTGTTAAAGCCCAAACATCCTTAAGCCACCATGCTGAGAGGAAGGCCAGGTCATGCAAGGAGGCCACATGCAGAGTCTCCATTCACAGTTTCAGCTGAGCCCAGCTTTTGAGTTCTCCTGCCTAGAACCCACACTTCTGAGTGGAGGAGCCTCCAGAAATTCCAGTGTCCAATCCTTCAAGTCATGTCAGGCTGCTCAAGCCTTCCCATTGGGGGCTCCAGACATGTGGAGCCCTCCCCACTCTGCCCGAGTGCCTGACCCTCAGAACCTGTGAGTGTAATAAAATGGGCCTTGTTCTGTGTCCCTAAGTGTGGGGTGATCTGGTGCACAGCAGTAGAGAACCAGAATGTCCTTCATTCAAAGGACACTGGTAACACTGCAGTTTCCATCTCCCTCCAGGTCTGCCATCCCCTGGGGGACCTCAGTATCATGCAAATGACCTCTCACTGCCAACATTCTGGCCTCTCAGTCCTTGACCTCCTCACCCACAGTGACATCCTCACCTACATCACCTGGGCTAACTCTTCCAGTAAACAAAAAGGCAGGATCTGGGGGGGTTTAAGTGACAGTGTCAGGGCTATTGTAAGGGAAATAGAGGTTTCGTCTTACACCCCCTCCATAGATCCTATGACTCCCCCTAGTGTTGTCAACATGCAGAACATTGGGCAGAGCTGCAGGTCACAGTCACCATGTCACTCTTCCTGTCAATCATAATACAGAATTCTGCTCCCAGGGTAGGGGGAGAGCCAGGCAGGTAGCTGGAGGCAAGTCTCCCAGAGCCAGCTGCTGACCGTAGTCTCTGTGACCTGGGCAGTTTCCAGGTGGAGGACCTCAGTGTGCACTGGTGACAGAGCATGAGGGTTGCAGCCCCAGGGCACAGGGGGAGGCAGCAGAGAAGGTGGCCAGAGGGAGCCTGTGCTTAGCCAACCTGGGCCCTGGCACAGGGACTCAAGAGTGAGGTGGGGTCACAGGAGCAGCCAGAAAATGGGGAGCTACTGCCATAGTGAGCCCTTCTTGGCACTCTTCTTGCTGTTGCTGCTGCCTTCTCTGTCATTTAGTTTGGGGAGCTTCAAGTACTGCAGCCCTGGCTGGAGAATCTTCTGCCACCACCCGCACCCAGTCTCCATAAACTTCCAAGACCACCAAGACTGGAGTGCAATCCATGGCTAAGGCCACAAGGAGA